AAACCTTTAATACAATATCAAATTGTTGTCTCTCTTTACGCCCCAATTACGTTTATAAACTGTGAAGTCAGCTTTTTTTCTATATTTTTCCTCGTTTTCTGTGACTTGTATTACATTGTTGTTGTTTGGACTTGGTATATACAATATATTATATTTTTTCTATGTAATTATATATAATATATATTTATAGCAAAAACTGCACGATGGCTCCAGTAGCTGCTTCATATGAACTGTATACACAGCTTTGCTGAGTCTTGGCATTTTAGTTAGAGTTTTATTTCAATTGAAATCGTATATAGGAGTGATTGATTGAGATTTAAAGTATTATTGCAAATTTTATTTAAATTGAGTTTATTATGCATATTATTAAAACTCTTAAATAGAAAAATTTTAATTAATATTTAAAGCATCTTAAATAAAAATTAAAATAAAAATAGCTCAAAGAAACAAATATTTTTTAAAGTAATAAATTCAAATTTAGTCTTTAGCTGAACTTAGCTGCCAATACCTTACACTATTTTGAACTCTACCTCCCAAGTTCCCCAAAACGTAACTCATAATCAGATTATTCCCAACATTCCTTCCCATCATATCGTATAGCATATTCTCCCTCTTTTTCCGTAGAACATTCCAATTTCCTCAACAGCCTAATTAATGTTATAGTTTCTCATTTTTTATGCATTTTCTGTGGGTTTCACACCACTTGCTTTTTTTTTTTTTTTTTTAGATTCGTATGACAAATTGCGTACAATTGAGTGTGACGCGTTTTGTCTTTGAGTTAGTCTGAGGGAACCGCTGATCGGGGCGTCGCAGTGCCCGCAGCTGTTGGGCGTTTGTAATTAAATGAAATCTCGAGCGTTTGACTCGCCGTCAGCCGTAGCCTCAGTTCCAGTTCCAGTTCCAGCATTAGCATCAGCATTAGCCCCAGCCCCAGCCCCAGTCCCAGCCCCTACCACAATCCCAATTTTATGCTCTTCAATTTTTGTAGGGCTTTTCAAACGCTTTCCTTTAAGTTGTTTTTTATTGTTGAATGCTTCCTGGCCGTCAGCTTTTGATTTATGCGCATATTTTGGTTTTACGATGCAACAAAAAATTTGTTTGCTTTTCACACCTTAAAGCAGACGATTTCATAGTTTTATAGAGTTTTAATATTGCCCGCTGGACGTAATTAACAAAAAAAGAAGTGAACAATGCACATTTAGTTTATGGTGGAATTTAAATATATGTAGGAAAAGCAAATAGTAGGGGTAGTCCCTCTGCCTCTCTCTCTCTCTCTCTCTCTCTCTGCCTTTGTCTGACTGACAGCCAAAAGATACAAAAAAATAAGATAAGATACAATGCAGACGCAGAGACAAAAGCCAAACAGCAAATCAAATGTGAAACAGCTGCCAAAGCAAGTTCTAAAAATCAAATGGGCTACGCACACGCACAGCGAGGGGCAGGCCGGGGTTCTGTCTGTGTGTGCGTGTGTGTGTCTAAGGATCTGAGGGTCTGCGTCGGGACAGAGGCAGGTGCAATGTGTCGAGCTCAAAGATTTTTGTTGTTTTTGTTTTTCCTTCGACAATTTATGCAGGCACAAACTGGACAGCAAATGTTTTCAATGTCTGTGCGCTCTAAATCATAGATCTGAGAGCCAGACAAAGAGCAGCAGTTCGGTGCTGGGCAGGGACAGGGGCAGGGGCGAGGCAAGTTGGAACAAAGTACGCTTAGTTTTTGGGCATAAGTGCAAAGGACGTGTTGAGGCCGCGTAACATGTGGCTGAGCTAAGGATCCCCTCTGGACCTATGATGTAATGTGAGCTGCAGCAAATAGATCTCAGCTACCTGAGCAACTCGACTGAACTCAGGTAGTCAGAGATCAATGTCATGCACTGAGCGAAAAAAATTGGGACAAAAATTTGATTGGAATAAGAGGAAAATGTATAAATGCATAAATTCTATTGGAATACAAGGAATGTGAGAAGAGATTTAGGAAATACTTAATTGTAATACAGGGAATATCAGAAAATTTATATACATATAAAGGAATACAAGGAATATCAGAAGCGATTAAAGAGATAAGGCATTACAGAAAATTTACATATAGAAAAAGTCAATACAAATGTCTGAAGAGTCTAAAGAGATAATTAATATTAGATTATATATGTAGATGATTAAATACAATAAAAGATATTTCAGAATTTTTGTGTACGTTTGATAATCCAATATAATAATGAATATATGATCATATGTTTCCCATAAAGATTTCCATATTCCAAGTAATCTGAACTACCTTATATGTGTATATCCCCTTCTCTATCTTATATAAGTCTCCTGCCCATGGATAAACATTTTAACTCAACATATTTAATATTCTCAACAACCCCCGCCTCTTCTCACCCTCTCTAGCCACTCTTTCTCACAGTGTATGCTCTTCTCTTTTGCTTACAGAACGCTCCTGGACGTGGCTGTACCGCTGGCCGGTGGCAGCGGCGATGTGGGCAGCAGCTTGGCTGGCACCAACCTGAACATGTCCGCCATGGCGGGAGGCGGTGCTGCGGACAGCGTGGAGCTGGGCGGCGCCCCATTGGGCTACAGTTTTCGCAAATGGTTTGCGCGACCCTCGCTGCCCTTCGTCATTGGCATCTTTGCGCTGGGCGGCGTTGCCTGCACCCTGGGCGGCATTGTGCTCGGGTCCACTGGGCTGATTGAGCACTCGACGCAGTATCTGAGCGCTGCGCTGCTGATGATTGGCATTGGCGTCTCGCTGCTGGTCATTTCGGGCGCCATCTGGCGGCTCAGTTTGCCGGACGATGTCGACGACTGCCCCTGCTTCCGGCGCATGGAGACCTGCCGGAACTGCAATAGTCCGCACTGCACGAATCGCCTGCTGCCGGGCAGCTATCTCTATCCAGAGTTTCAGCACCGACCCCCGCCGCCTTCCTATTTGACGTCGCTGAATGAATACGCCTTCGTCTATCATCCCAGCGCTCATCCGCAGGCCGCGTATGCTGCAGTGCGYATGAATACGCCGCCGCCGCTCTATCGCTCCACCTACTCCTTGAAGTAAGTTTAACTGGGATTAAAGACTTTAAATAGTTAACTAATCTTTCTCTCTCCCTCTCTCTTTGGTCCTTGTAGCACTTCAGCTTCGCACATGCTCTCAGCCGGCATGTCCTTGCCGCCCACCAGCGAGCAGGTGCTGGAGGAGCCGGTGACACGCGAGGCCATCAGCCAAACGTCCTTCAAGGAGCTGGAGATTGTCGAGCTGCACGAGGATCAGTCGGCCATGCCGCTCACACGCGAAGCCGAAAGCCAAACGCTCTTCAAGGAGGTGGAACTCGATTAGAACTCGCAAAGTTTTGATAACGCATCTCTCTCCCACTCCTGAATCTTGACTGATTTTCATCATATACAAACTATATATATTCATATATGCATATATATGTACGATCTACACATACATATTCAGATCTGCGTATCTTCAACATATTGACAACTGTACAAATTTAGTTTTAGTTTTTATTTTTGCTTTCTTAGTGGAATTTAAGTGTACATAATTTATACTTATATAAAAATATATATATTTATAACTGAACGTCCTAACTATACACCTCTATACATATACATAAATGTAGTTTATACATAGCTTAGTATTTACATGTGTTTTCAGTTTTAGCCAAATGCTCTGTGCCTGCGGCTCTTCTATGTTATGTTGATCATATTCCAAATGCCAAATTTAATAATAAATGTCTTCAAATGGCCTAAATGTGAAATGAAATGTGTTTTTATTGAACTTTTATAGCTATTGATTAAAAAAAAAACTGGCGAAACAAAAATCATTTTCGTCTATTCTTCATACGTGACATGCTTATTCTGGCCACCACTGTAGGCTAGCAAAGTCGCACTTAAAAGGTTGTTGTCTTGGCTATATATTCAGCAGTCTAAGCCAGTGTTGCCAACTGTTGAACTCCGAAATAAGTTGAACTGTGAATAAATATAGGCTGAAACAGGCTAAATTGTAGGAATAAATGCTGGAATAGCGAACTAGGAAGAAAAGAAAAGAAGGAAAGAAATAATTATTTACAGTGGCAATTTTGTACTCATCATAATAATAAAATAATATATGTTTGCATAATATGCATATGTATGCATAATATGCATAAAATAATATATAATAATATGCATAGACATGTATGTATTAATTGCTTAACTTTTTAACAAAACAACCGGCTAGTTTGTCCTCTAAGTATTTGCTCCAAGTATTTCTTACCTCCAAATATTTTTTCTGTTTGCTCTCAGCATTAGCTCTCAGTATTTTCTCCAACTATTTCCCCTCAGTCTTTAAAGCTTAGCTGAACGATCACACTTCACTTCACTTTACTGCACTGCACGACTGACCTCACCCACCAGGCCTGGGAGACTGAAGAAATGCTACAGCTTCTGCCCTTTATAAAGGGCAACTTTTACTCACACACTAAGACAGGCTCAACTGTTGAGCAAGGCGCCCGGTAGAGATCGTTGCAGTCGAAGTTTAAATGAACCAATGGGAAGCCTCTCTGCTACAAGCACTCTAGCTTCGTTTCAGTTCAATAAAAATACGAAGTGAATACTGCTGCACGATCTTCTCTAGTTCTTCGTTCGGAGAGACAGACTGGGAGTCAGACAGAGAGTCAGATGTACAGAAAAACAATCAAAGAGATATATGCTTGATGAGGCTTTATGTTGATTGGCTAAATAGCTTATATACATTAATATTTATAATTATAGATGCCATAGTCTTTAGGAATGTGAGTCTATGAGTTTATTATAAATAGGGCAGATCTAGCCTGAAACAAGCTTAATTTGGCAGCCCTGCTCTAAACAATTTTTCGCACCTGTTGCACTTCTTAAATATTTAATGCATTAAATACAATTTACAACTCTGCCGCATATAATCAATATACTAATTACTTAATAGAGGCTCTAAAAAAACTAATTAAATGGGTCAACTGTTAATTAGACGCAACTTGTTTAGTTTATATGAAAACTCATAATAATAAAAGTTTGTGGGTTTCGAGGCTTTGCCAGGAGTTGGAGCGATTAAAAATTGATGAAAGTCACATTAGAAATTCCCAAATTATGCCACACGATATGGCTTAAATGAGGACAATACGAAAATAAACGGCTCAAAAGTGTTTCAACAGTCGAAGTGAAAATGTACCTTAGGGTTATGATTGCGTCCTTCGTGATAGTGCTGCTGGGAGCACTCATTGGATTTCTGGCATTTCCCATGATCTTCAAGCAGCTGATCAAGCGAGTGAGCTAGGAACTGATTATATAGCTATATATATAATATATGTATGTAACATTTGTCTAGAGTGTTAATCTGAAGCCCGGCAGTGAGACGCGTCAGCTGTGGGAGAAAACGCCTTTTCCGCTCAGCTTTAAGATTTACGTCTTCAATGTTACGAATTCAGCGAATATCGAAGCCGGTGGCAAGCCGCAGCTACAGGAAGTGGGTCCATTTGTCTATGAGTAAGCAGCAGTTGCCCAAGAAGATCACATTTAGGAACATTTCTTTCTATATAGCGAGTGGAAAGACAAATATGATATAGTGGACATTGAGGCAGAGAACGCAGTCAGCTTTAATATGCGCAACACATTTCAATTCCGTCCGGATCTGGGGCTCAGCGGAGAGGAGCTGATAACCATGCCGCATCCCTTGCTGCAGGTGGGCTTAAGATTGCACTGAGTTCTCCATATTTAACCAACCCAATCTCGCCTAGTTCCTAGCCATTGCCAATCTGGCACAGCCAGCTGAGGTGCAGGCTGCCGTTGCCCTGGGGCTGGATCTCATTTTCCAGCCTCAAAGCGCATTCATAACAGCCAAGTTCAAGGATCTGTTCTACGCTGGCATCGATGTCAACTGCGGCTCAGATCACGCCGCTGTTCAGGCCATTTGCCAGCAGTTCCAAGCAGGCGCAGTGCCTGGCGCTGTGGCTCTGAACGCCACGCACTATAAATTCTCACTGATGGGCGGGGCAAGTATAAGTAAAAGAGTGAAAAGTTTTCCTATCAACCGGATTCTCTTCCCTCTGCAGGGCAATCACACAAAAGCCGGACGCTTTAAGGTGCTGCGCTCCTCCGGCTCTAAGCAGCTGACAGTGGGCCAAGTTCTCGCCTACAACGAGGCTGAGCAATTGCAGGTGTGGCAGGAGACGAACGGCAGCAGCTGCAATCGCTTGCGCGGCACAGATGGCACCATCTTTGCGCCGCTCATGCAGCCACAGCACGGCCTGTGGAGCTACTCGGCACAGCTCTGTCGCTCCCTGACACCCAAGGCAATGGGCAAAACCAAGTACAATCAGCTGCCAGCTCAACGATACGAGCTAAGCTTTGGTTCACCAAGCGTAAGTGAGATCGGGTAATCCTTGCCCTCCAAGCAGAATTCTTCGAAAGAAAAAAAATGATATATATAAATATATATAAAAGATTTCCCTGTAAAATCTCAATCAAATCTCTCACTTCAGACGGAGCCGGATTTGCACTGCTTTTGCACGAATTTTCCCGGCGATTGCCCAGCCGATGGCACTATGGATCTAATGCGCTGCAGTGGCACGCCTTTAATGGCATCCTTGCCGCACTTTCATCAGGCGGATCCAAGGCTAGTGGAGCAAGTGGAAGGACTTTCGCCTACAGCTGCTAAGCATGGCAGCACAATGATCTACGAGCAGGTGAGTCGAGGACTCGTCTAACAAGATTCCTGTCTATTACGCTCCACGAACTCTTATCTCCTATAGCTATCTGGCACGGTGCTCTCTGTGTATAACCGCCTCCAGTTCAGCTTGAAAGTTATGCCAGTCAAGGATGTGCCCACCATGGCGCAGCTGCGTCCTTTGGCCATGCCACTCTTCTGGATCGAGGAGTCGTTGCAGCTGGATGAGAAAATCAGGCAGCTGCTGCACAAAAAGATATTTGCGTGAGTTAAGCAAGAGTATTTGGAATAATAATGCCTGTTTTTATATTTATCTATATGCAGCGTGCTGAATGCCAACAATTGGTTTAGATGGCTCTGCATTGGCCTTGGTAGCCTGGGCTGCATATTGGGCGGCTTGTTCCTTCACCTAAGTCGCAGCGATGCCAAACGCGTGGGCTTCACTGTTGAGGAATAGTTGGTGATATATATAAATATACAACAAATATATCCTTATTCAGCTATAAGAGTCCTGCTCCTTGGATTATAAATAGATCTATATTACAATGTCATTGAGGTTCCTCATAATCTTTTCAAGTAAAGAAGGAACCAAATCTCCTTAACCAACGGGGGATCAAGTCATTCAGCTTGCGCTTAATCTCTTGGTATATTAATATATATGCTTTGCCTTCAGTGTTTATAGCGTTTTACATTTTAAAATAGTACGAGTTGAATGTATTAGATGAGGCGATAGTGCTTGGAACAGTAGTATATAAATATATATATATAAAATTATATATCTTATTAGATACACGCACTACCCGAAAAGAGACGTCTACGAATGTGAGTGTGTATGTGGACAATGCGAGCATGAATGTGTGTGTGTGTGTGTGTGTGTGTGTGTGTGTGTGTGTGTGTGGACAATGCGAGCATGAATGTGTGTGTGTGTGGAAAGTATTGGTGCGAGGATGAGAATGAGTTCTCCTTTTAGTTCTGACGTCGCGTTTGTCGCAAGTTTTTCTCAATCTCGAATTGCCGCAGATCGGTGCGCTGCAAAAAGTCCTGGCGTTCCAAGTAACTACAAAGAGGTATACTTCAATAAGTCAAGATTTTCGTAAATTAAACCAAATTACTCACCCATCTTTGCCTTTATTGTGTGTTTGCAGTTCCTCGTCGATGCCTTCTTCGCTCTTGAAGGATTTCCAGTCTAGCTGCGACTTTTCCAGCACCGACATTTTCTTCTTTTTACCCAGCTGATTCAGTAGAGAGCCCAAGCCACCACCAACTACACCTCCATTGGCGGCGGGTCGTTTGATGGCAGCGAAGCCGCGCGGAGCTGGCGATTTAGTCAGCGGGGCTGCCGGCTGCTGTTGGTTCTCCTTGGCACTCGAACTGGAACTGGTGCTGGAACTGGAACTGGAATTGCYTTTAGCCACAATCACTTGTTCGCCGGCAAAGTCAAGAATCTCTGTTGCCGGTTTAACGGGTTTGCTCGGGGGGCTCTGCGCTTGCTTTGCCGAGGAAGATTTCTCCTCTTCCTTTATAGCGGGTTTGCTGCTGGCACCGACATCGCCCAAAAAGTCAGCCCAGAGAGCATCGGAACGCGATTTGTCCACTTCCTCATCGGATTCCAATTCATCCTTTTCCGCAACTTTGCGTCCATTCACTTTAGGCTCGGTTTGACGTGTGCTGCGTGTTGGGACCGACTCGGAATTTTCTGTATCTATTAATTTTTTTTTCTTCACTTTGTCTTTCTTTTTGCCTTTTGCTGTTTTGCTGGGTTTTCTGCCTTCTTCGGCGTCGTCTTCATTATCCGATTCGCTTTCGCTGTCTTCTTCTTCCTCCTCGCCGGAATCCGCATCTTGCTCGTTTTCTAGGCAAAAATCCTCGTCGCTTTCATCGCTGTCTGAGGCATAGTCTTCCTCCTTATTCATATTATGACTTAGCTACTTTTAATTAGTTTACTATTATAAAAACACTACTATAGGTTGCTCAGCAAGTTGTAAAGTTTTTTTCCGGCTGGGCTAAAGACGCACACTTAAACACAAATTGAACACACGCATGAAACGCGAAAGTCAGCTGCCCGCGAGCCAACTAGTGATGCACGTAGCTCAAAATATACATTCAACCGATTAATGCAACAGCTAAACTAGCTGTGCGATAGACGTATATCGATATAGGCATGAAACAGCTGAGCTTATCTGGTTGGTTCATTTACCAAAGCGTTCCAGCTTCGTTACCATGTAAAACAGAACGCATTAAAGTGATATATATAAAAAAAAAAAAAATAGAAATATCATAACATTTTAGTAATCAATCAAGCGTATATCAATTGTGCAATGCAAATACTAATCACAAACTAACACGCTGTGCATTTAAAAGCTAATCACAAAATGCTTAGCTAGGAGTTGGTGAAACACTGCCGCTGCAAGTGCGATTTTTTGGTGTGGCCTTCTTAATCGATTCCAGTTTTGCCTGTCCCAAAACCGAAAACAAAGCAAAATATTTATTCATCGCACAAGGGCAGAACAACACATTAGACTTAGGAGCGCTAGCTGGAACGGGAACGGTTAACAGGATCAAATTAACTAGCATATATGCTTATATGCATACGTGTGCGTGTGTATGTATGTGTGAGTTGCCATGCGATGGGCCAAAAGGTCGATAAAACTAATACGTATTTGTTTCCCTACAATATTTCCATTTGCAGGTTTATTGACAATGTTAAATACATTTGGAAACAATGTACTGTGCTTTACCTACAGTTTACAGCAGGTGCATATTAACCAGTCAACGACAACAACAAATTACAAATGACCAAAACGAGGAGTCGCTGCAACGGAAAAGCAATAATTAGCAACAAAAGAAATAATTACAATAATAATAACGACGACGACGACAAGAACTTCAACTCAATCACAGGATACTTCCAACAATTGTAGCCAAAATTCTACGAATACGTGATTATCGTTATATATATACGTACTGCTTGCCGATACTATTGGTCATGTACTCCGAACCCTACGATACCGATGAGCTGGATGCGATAGTCGATGTGGTCGGCTTACGATCACAGTCGAGGCTCAACACGTTCCGTGAGATGTGGTATCATATCTTTCTGTGGGCACTCTTCTCATCCATATTTATACACACCTGCGCCGCCTTGGTTGCCTTTGTGACGCTCCGGCGCCACAAATTCGGACGCTTCTTTTCCATACTGATTCTGGTGATGGGCTTCGTATCGCCCGCTAGCAGCGGGATCATTAGCAGCGCCGTTATTGCATTCGTCCACGTCGCTTCCAGCTTGCCCATGTCACCGATCTATGCGCTCTTCTGGGGCGTCGGACAGACCATATTCTCGGCCTGCTTGGGCTTCTTTCGCATTCTGGCCACGCTCTAGACAGAGTTGCGAACGGACTGACTACTATCTATCATATGGCAACGCAAATCCTGCCCATCCTCATATTCTGTTTTCTTTGCTTATTATTTATGTGTATTTAGCTCTTAATGTTAATCATTTTTTACTTATATATATATTTAATATGTATTTCTAGTTCGCATTCAATATCCTCATAATCCAGTTAGAAAAAAAGTAATTTTATTCTTTAATTCAATATTGTTATTTTATATATAAATCAAATTCGTAAAGTCGTAATTTTAAAATAGTATTTTCTACGCGCCAAATCGAAGTATATATCTATCAACAAATTGTTCACGATTGCATATACTACAAACTAGAACTTAACAACTAATTAAACAATTATGATGTACATGTGTAAGAGAGGAATGCGTATAAAAAATATTGTGATTTTTAATATATATATATATATACTATATTATATAAAGATAAATGAACTAGCGAACTGTATATAATTATTATTTAAGCACCTAAGCGATCGATTGTAAAAACAAAAACCAAATGAGCAGCTGAATAAACGGCATAAATTCTATATAACTCAATGTATGATCTAATATATACTAGAACCCTATATTAATGTATTCGGATCCCTGGTAGTATATAGAGTATACAACTTATTGCTAAGCACATTGCCAATCCTTCGTTCCGACTGCAGCGGCTGTGGTCCATTGCTGCGCTTGATCTTGATGTCCGCCAACGTTTGCACTGCCTGTGGATCCTCCTCAAAGTGCTGCAACATGCGCTTGGGACATGGATATTGAGAGATGATGGACTCAGCCACCTCAAGTGTAACCAGTGGCAAACGATTCAGATGCTGTTGCCAGAGACGTCCATAGCCATTGCCCTGCTCCACGCGGACGCATTGTTTATTATCATTGGCCAGGTATTTCTTAAAGCTGCCCAGAATCGATTGCCGCTGCTGCTTGTATGGCAACTCAGCTATGGCTTTGGTGTAGCGCTGCAGCAGTGATAGTAATTCCTGGCATTGCGGTTGAGCCAGTTGCTCCACATGCAATTGCTGCAGCAGCTGCAGCTCAATCAATGCATTCGCCTCGTGGCTGTGCTTGCTCTGGCGTAGCCGAGGCACAACCACAGTGAACTGGCAATTGGGTGCGGGAAACGCATCATGCAGCTTTGCTCCTGTGCAGCTCAAATTGTGATCCTTAAGTGCACGCTGAAAATCCGTCTCAGTATAGACCAACAGAACCTGTTGCTCCATGTTCCAGGCATCTTCCAACTCGACGCCCGCCACAAGCGTTTGTTGGCCAACATTGCGCTCCCAGATAATGCAGTTGCGTGCAGGCAAACAGCGTATTTCATATTTCAAATCCGTATTATTTAATTTTTCCAGCAGCTCTTGGCCCCAGGGGATACGCAGCAGCCCTTGATCAAGTACCAGGCGTACATACTTCTGACACTCACCAGGCCTAATACGCTTCTGTTGCTCGCGCATAGCCTGTTTAAGCAATTTATCAGCTTTGTTAGACATGATATACTTTATTTAAAATTTTAACAAATTGAAGCGCCAATCCGCATAGAAACAAACAAAAACAGTGTTGAGAAGCAGCAATTAGAATTCTTCTCTTAAACATCGATACTTGGGTTTCAGCTATCGTATCTATCAGTATCGATATTTATGTGCGTTTTCAATGTGATGAGCGGCATTTATCGTTGCGCAGCACTGCACGCCACACGTGTTTATATTTGCTTGTGAAGAAGTCGCACTTTTTATAAATCGTTAAAAATGTATCTTATGTATACAATTGGTGAAAACGGTGAGCGCATCTATACTCTGAAGGTAAGTTTAGTGAAAGTGTAATAAAGGATAGGACTAATATGTAACCATCTCTTGCAGAAACGTACGGAGGACGGTCGCCCCACCTTGTCCGCACATCCAGCTCGTTTTTCACCTGAGGACAAATATTCCAGACAGCGCATTACAATCAAGAAACGTTTTGGATTGTTGCTCACACAGAAGCCGGAGCCCATCTATTAAGCCACAGTTTAGGTTTAAATTAGCTTATGTATATTTACAAACTATAATTAAACAAAACAAAAACATTTCAAATACGACGCTTTAATCCGGCAGTATAGTCAAACAGTTGCGGATTGCGGAACTCGCCCCGCATATCCAGTACATAGTACAGCGCCTTGTTCTTGACCTTAATGGGCAGTTGAACACGAGCCATTTCACGTGATTCCTCCGCTGAAATGCACTTCAGTGGCACGGTCATAATGCGGTTACGATTGAATGGTCCATAAGTCACAAAGGAGACACTATCTCCGCCCTTGCGTAGAATGAGAAACCGCACCGAGCGCAGCGTAAACATCCAGACGGCAAACAAAATGCCATAACCTGAAGAGAGAATATTTTCAATACTGTGAAATCTTTAATTTTATAGTGTATCCACTCACCTATTAAAAAACAGCATATAGTAATGCCATTCTTATACTTGTTCTCGCCCAGATTTATGCGCTGGTACCATTTCAGCTCTTCGCCAGGTTTTTCCACAACGGGCGCATCTTTTAGCGTCGTAAAGGCGAAATGCGATAAATACGTCCAGAACACAAATTGGCACAGGCCAAAAAAGTTCAGCATCTTATAGAATTTCGGATTTTCATATTTAAACAATATAATATCCTTTTGCACATTTGTGCTCACATCATAGGCAGCTTTGGTCGATTGGCTTCGAATGGGCGCAATTGCAGCCGGCAGTTTACTGGCTATTGCTGGCACCGTACTGCGTAAGCTTTGCAGTGTATGTCTTTTTAGGTAATTGGCGCCATGCCTGAGCGCGAAATTGATCAAATTGCTCATTTTGACTGATAACTTTGTTTACGGCATTTATTATAAAACAAAACTAACCTACAAGCCGCACAGATGTTTTTGTTTTGTTTCGGTTTATTTGTAGTTCATTCGCGGACGAACTGGTATTTGGAGCCCCATTACCAGGGCTGACAGTTGCAGTAAGCGAAAGCTGTGCTGCGGTGAACTAGATTTGCAAATATTAATCACTTATTAATATGACTAAATTTGGTACTTGGTAAATTGGCTCTTGAAATTTGGTACGTAATTGCCTAACAACTTCAGCAATTTGCATGGTACCTAATAAGGCAATTTATCAGTTTTCAATTTTAGTCAAAACTTTAATGTATTTTCTGAGAATTCATGAAAAAACAGATTTTTTATATTCAAATAATAAATTGTTGTTATTGAATGGATATTTGTTTAGTTCTTGCATATCACTAATTTAATATATATAGACTTTTTTATATATATAAATCCCTGTTATCTGTTCATTTGTTGCAGTGCTTTTGAGCTAGCTAAACAGTTCACGAACCAGGCACATTCCAACTGATTCGTGGTTCGACACAATTGTTGTTGTCTGCTCAGATTTTAGTCTGTGTTTGGTATTCCAGTTGTTCAGGGCGGCAGTGCACGCGCTGCGGTGTAAACAAAACGACAAAATACCGTTTAAACTATTAAATATATAAATTCAATACGTAGGATATGTTAAAAACGTTTAAATAAAAAGCTTAAGTTAAGGGCAATTAGAAAATACCGAACCTTTCTAAGAGGTAAGTCTCTAGAATGCCATTAACATGGTTTGTTGGTGCTCTACCTCACGTATTGTTGTTATTATTATTGTTTAGAAGCTTTTACTATAACATATTGCATATACATATATAATAGTTTTAATGGGTTTTCAACATATTGACCATAGCTTCAAGTTTCGGACTTATAAAGAGACACTTTTAAGATACTTGCTTGAGTTTGTAGGGTTGTCAGGTTGCTCCACGGCAGCCGGTAAATACAATAATAATTTAGTTTATCTGCTAAATGGTCAAGTGTAAACATCGAAACCGATTTATGACTGGCATATCTACGTGTTGTCCTTTCACCTCAAGCGTAACCTGTGCCAGATAATACACATATGTGAAATTTGATGATGATGGCAGCCCTATTATATACCATGTGCATGGTAATTAGTCGCATAATCATGAATTAACGCCCATATTTATATATATAAACACAAAATAAATAATATATATACTAACATTATGTTTGCCGATACTTGGCAGCCCTAATGATATTAAATTGTACAATAAAACGAATGAAAACTGTTGCCCCGTCTGCAACAGTGGCGTTTGCCACTACCCGAGTAGCTAAATGTGTCTATCTGGGATCGATAGATATTTTTACTATAATATCATATAGTATATAGTTGCGCTGCATAGATCTGTAATATTCCCCGGGGTTCGGATGTTTTTCAAACTAACCTCACTTTACATTAAAATCGATACGTAACCTAAAAAGAATGTGAATGCGCTGCAAAATTATATACATATACACGCACACACAGACGCACACATACACTCACGAACCTTGTTATACATACACACAGACGGCTAGTTAAGCAAACGCAGCTATAGATGTGTGCGTGTGTCTGTGTGTGCGAGAGCGAAACAGCTATAATAGACATAACTCCCAAGACAAGTCCAAACATTATTCTGTTGCCGTTGCATGTACATATGAAAAAAAAAAAATAGTATTATGCATCCAAAGTTGGCCATGCACAACATATTTATCAGTTAGCAAAAAAGAAATAAAAATAAATTGAATTTTTACTCTCATTTTATTTCTATAAATAGACAGAGAAAGCGAAATGAAGAGTATAATTTGTCATATGTGTATCTAGATAGATATATCCAGAACATAATCGTAGTCAATTACTACCGATTTCTATATCTTCTATAGCCGACCCCAGACCTGTTTCTCCCGATTACATTTAGATGTCTAATATGGCTGCCGACGCCTCAAAAAGAAAAAAAAAAAAAAAAAAAACATTTTTTCGCTTCTGTTTTAGTTGCTGCTTCTCACTGTGCTGCTGCGGTGTCTTTCAGTCGGTACGGCTCGTCGTACGACTTTGTCGCTCGGCTCGGTGCAAAACTTTTATTTTTCTTATAGATTACTTACATATATATCATATATATTATATTGTATGTATGTACATATTTTTACCTCGTATAAACGTTAAATTGCGCTGCTCCCTTCTCGCTCTATCTCCCTCTCTTGCTCTCTTGCTGCAAGCGCTTACGCTCCCTCCCCCTCCCGGTCTCTCTGGAGTGCCTTAGACCTGTTCGAAAACCGGTATCCTGCCAAAAGTCCTAGGCACATTCTCAAGTCCTAAAAAAGTGCGGATCTTAGACTAGACGCAAAAATTTGCCGCCTACCGCCCGCTTTCCTTCTCCCTCCCTCTCGCTGTCGCTCTCTCTTTCACTGTGGCTCTCTCGCTGCGTACGTTTGCATTGCATTAACACGTTTTAATTTACATTTTTGTTGTCATTTTTCTATACCAGATAATAGTTTAATTTCTCCTCTCGACCTCCCCCTTCCCCCCTCTGACCCGTTCCCTGTGGCTCCCCCGTCTACCTCCCCCTTCCCTTTCGACCTCTACCTACGCAGATATATTGTAATACATAGAGCTGTACCGCTCACACGCACAGCTTACTCGCATCAGCCATCTCGCTCGCACAATACGCAGTATTGCTCGTTTTTGTAAAATGCCAATTTATGGCAACTTTAATTTTTGGTTTTACTCTGCTTTTGTTTTGTGTCTTGTTATTGTTGTTCTTCTATTCCATTTTCTTATCGGCATTTGGCGGAAAAACTATAATGGCATATTCGAAGATCCCCTCTTGCAGCAGTACTGCTACTTCAACCCCTCTACCCGCTCTCCCGGTTGTACTATACATATAAGAAATAGCGCTGCCAACTTGCTAAGAAAAGTCTTTCTCTAAATTACGAAACTTTACATAAAAGCTGACCTATATTAGTGCTATCCAATATCAATAGACTCTTCTTATATATTTTATATACATATCTAGTATTTATATACATATGTATATATAGCTGCCAGCATTGCTGACGTCGCAGCGCATTTGTAGTTAGGGGTCGCACGCACCGTGGACACAGTCAAGATATGACATTAGGAAAAATAAAATGAGAAAATGAAAACTTTAGGGAAAAATGATTATAGAACGTTATCAGAATCCAATTTGACACGCCCTAAACCAGCAGTTGGGTCGCTGCCCCCTAACCATGCCCACTCTTACGCTCTCGCTACCTTACTCTCTCATTTCGTATTGCTCTCTCTCATAATTTAAATGTCGTCGTCGTCGTCGTCGTTGCCGTTGCCCGTCAGCTGGTTTTTTGCGTTCGCGTTCGCGTTCACTTCGGCCACTGTTTTAGTGTTGCCTTGAACTCGCATAAAAATCTTGTTACAAATAATTTGATTTCTTTCGAGTCTAGTGTAAAATTGTTGCAAGACGTAAACGTTAAATCAATCTAGTCTAGATTGAGCATCGTGTAAGTCGATTATATAAAATTTTTGCAGACTCTCTTCAACATAACCTCAATTTTACTAACTAAACTTAAATTTTGGTTTATCGAAAATCGCTTCAATTCTAATTCATCAGCATTAACAACGGTTTATTTTTTCTGTTGATTTCATTTTCATTTCGTTTCGTTTCTATGCTGGCTCTAAGCATTTATCACATGTTCCTGCTTTATGCATGCTTATTTCTCTTCTTCTTCGTCTACATTTTGTCGCTGTTCGCTTTGCATTTGTGTTTCGATTGCAGACATCTCTTGCGCTGCGGCCTCTCGCTCTCTTTGTTGTGCTTGCTGTTATTGTTGTTGTTGCTCGCGTCGGCAGCATATGTACGACCGAACGAACAACCGACCGTTCGACCGTCCCGAGCGACCGTCCGACCGAACAACAAGCACACCGGTTAGGTATGCAGATTTACAGATACATACCGAAACCCGAAAGAGCCTATATAAAATCACGAAAAAATCAGTTGATATTTGTATACGATATACACTTAGATATATATATCCATCTGATTAATACAGTTTATATGAAAGCTTAACTCAAATAGAGGGATTTCTCTCTGTTTTCCTCGAAATCCGTTACTTTTTGGACCATCCAAACTTTCATATGGGTTCTCAAAATAGAAACCTGGTTCAGCTGATTTCAAATTGTAGTTTCATTTAATTTTCATTGCTAGCAAAAACTACAACGAAAAGCGTTCTGGCGAGCTTTTAGCAAAAAGCTCTGTTTTTAGCATACATTAATTTTTAAAGAGGGAGTCGTTACATTAATTTATATAATTTCCTCTTCACTTATTGATTATAAGGGCCTAGGTCAATTATCATATTAATCTAGAATTGCCACATTGTTGCTAACAGTGTTGCCAGACCGTCTATGAAATCTATTTACCATAATCTTTGATTCTCGTTTCATCTCAGTTCAATGTGTTCCAACTAAAGGTAGACTATAAAACGCGCGAATATGATGGAAGTAACACAGAACGTTGAGTTAAGGGAGCTGTCGACAGAAGATGACTTAATCAGAAGTATCACCGAACTGGACCATAAAGTTGATAAGCTTTCCAGCCCTGGTATGTGCGCAACATATAATCGTTAAATTTGGCTGGAAATAAATAAATGATTTCTTTCAGAAATTAATACAAACATAGGAAGCCGCAAGTCAACTATCGATGAGGAAATTCATAATGGATTGTCCTCAGACATTCTAGATAACAATATGAAGGCAACTTCGCCTATCGATAGTATCGGCAAGAGTGATGATCATGATCACGGCAATGAATTGCCTAGCGAACACGACGCCGGCACAGATCTGGATGCTCTACTGGACAAGATTAGTTCGATCGTAGACTGTGATCGTAAAGACTCTGTCGATGAGGATGATGTCACAATGGAAGATAGCAGCATACCGATTTCGGCCGATATCGATAACATAACAGAAGACAACACTGCGATCGATAAAGCAGACACAAATGTGATCGGCGCCGAAGCAAAGGAAAAGGAAGAACAACAAG